TCGTACTACTGATTTAATTGTAACTGTTGTTCATAATGTTAATTATCACATTCCATTAACATGGCCAATACAAATATTTCATGGAAAAGATAATCAAGACTTTATTAAGAATTCTACATTAGCACCATTAATTTCCTCAGGCAGAATAATTCTGACATGTATGGATGTTGTTTATGGAAAGAGTGAAACAAATACATTATTAACAGATCCAAAATTTTGGCAACGTGTTCGTGGTGAAAAAATTCTTTTCTTCCAAATCGATTCAATTATGTGCTCAAATTCTCCACATAAAATAACTGATTATTCTCAATATGATTATATTGGTGCACCTTGGGACCCTAGTTGGTTCTCGTTTAGTAAAGTAGATTATGTTGGTAATGGTGGATTTTCATTACGAAGTCGAAATAAAACTCTTGCTTTACTTGCACTTCTTCCATATAATAAACAAATGCCAGAGGATGTGTGGTATGGATTACATTTACGTCAAGTGAATGGTTCAGTAGCTCCTGTGAATGTAGCTAAAACATTTGCAGTTGAATCATTATACTATGAAAGACCAGTAGGTGTACATCGATTTAACTTACCATGTTCAGTTCGAGAAAAACTATTTCAAACATGTCCTGAATCTAAGATTGTTATGCCCGAAAAATGTAAATAAAAATATCGTTTATGTTATTATATGTATACATGAGAAATAAAATTTATGAAGTTTTATAATACATACTTTGTTTTTTTCTGATAAATAGAAACTAATGGAAAAGATTTAAGTTTCAGCATTAAATCAATTAACATAATTGTATTTCTACATAATGATAGTTAAATACAAAGACTGTACTTATATAATAGTTTCGACACTAGTCGACAATTTTGCCTCTCATCTTTTCAGATTCTTGATTTCTTGGGCTTGTTACCTGATTCTCTTTTTTCTTACATCTAACATGTTTATTTAAAAACTCAAAAACCAGTTATAATTTGATACATTGATATGATTCAATATTCGTATCTTTATCCTAAAATATTTTGACTTAGCTATAGTTGGCATGCAACTCAAACGTCCCTTGAAGAGACTCATTTTCTTATTAAGTCGAATACAATAAACATAATCTTTCTTCGTCAAAAAATGCACCAGTAAAGTATGGACGTTAATATATGTATGGATTCATCCTTACAAAGACAACACATAATGTTTGTCTTGAAAATAAAGAACAAAATCTTTTTTCTTTCCTACCAAAAACCACGTGTGAATTTCTAGATATTCGAAAAAATCTTTTAATTCTTTCTAGATTCATGATTTTCTTTTTATTCAGTCAAGATTCTTTTCATCGAAAACTTCTGATAAACGAGAAAAA